ATTGCCGAGATACAATCACAGCAAAATGTGCAAGCTTGAGAAGATTGATTTTCGTCTCAAAGTCTGTTATGAAATTGTGATATAACTGTATAAGAGCATCGCCAGCCTGAAATTTTACGGTGAGAACAATTAATCAACTAAATAAATCATAACTCTAGAAATATATGCATAACAGTCAATAAGATTTATCACATTAAAAGACAACAAATGTGAAATTGGAAGAGTCAGAACTAGAAATTGTACTCTATTATGGATAACATCTCTCATAGGTATAATATTAGCTGCAGCTTGAGTAAAAAATAAGAGAAATGGAATAAAATATAAAGTTGATCTCATGTTTAGCACAGCCCTAACAAATTCAGGATCTTGGTAAAAACAAGTCAATCTAAGATGTGGATCAAATGCTCTAAATGAACAGCCCAAGTAGACAAAATTTGACAGCCTTAGATCAATAAACGGTCAAGAATGGGTAACAGGTGTCAGATTGTGATTGCAACAAACATCCCATAATCAAAACATACCCATCCAGGAAAGCAAAAACCTATATCCAATCTCAATAATGCACGGCTTAATGATATTAAAAAATTAAAAATGAACCACATAACAACAGTTCTCCACAATCATAAAAATACATTCAGTCAGTATAACATAGATCCATAATCAAAATTATATCCTAAGTTTGATCATCTTAAACATCTCTGTTGCCTTAACAGGACCTCCAGTTTCTTATATATCATGCTACACTCTAATTTCAATGGTTTTTTACTAATGAATCACATATGCCAAACCAGTTATCGCAACTATAAAGAGCAAATTGCCACAGCTCCATCGTGAAAAGTGTTTGAGTCAATCACATTTCAAGTTGGTTGGGCACAGCAAAATGGCGCTTCCTGTAAATTTTCTCATCCTTTAAGATGTTGTTTACTTCATGTGTTTTAGATTGATGATAATATATTCTTGTACTGGTAAATTTCTTCCCTTCCAAGCATAGAAATATCTCTATCTTCAAATGTCTAACACAACAGAACCGCAACAAACAACGAATCCTGGTATAGAGTTGAGCTTTCGTACAGACACCATTATTTTAGAATTAGAGTGTGGATATACATTGGAAAATTAGAATTGAGTATTGCTGAAGCGAGAGAGGTAGTACAACTAAGAAAAATCCTATTCATTTTGCCCAATAGCAACCAAAAAGATACATATTACGAAATAATTGGCCGCTAATTGCTTTTAATGACCCAGATACATCAAATAACAGAAACAATAGTTCAGATGAGGAAGTCTGGAGTTTCAAACAAAACCCTATTTTTCCAAATTCTATTACTTCACATTCAAATCTTCCAAGTAAGCACCCCATGTCCTTTCAGAAATCAAACAGGACTTATCAAAGCTGCAATTGCAACAATTTGAACACTTCAAACACCATCTCATAGCATAAATTCTGCATGAAACTAAATCAAGCACCACAACTTCTTACTTGCGCCAGGGTTTAAAAAAGGGGGGGAACAAATCCAAAGCAACTGTCCGTAATTCAAAAACCCTAGTCCACATAAACAAAACCGAACAGCCTACACCAATGCATCTATTGGTACCAAGAATAATCACAAGTAAAACACTTTGAAATCAAAGAAGCCAACCTGGAAAGCAGCAAGAGCAACGAATTGCTCGAGCTTCAGAGTGAGCTGGTGCCAGAGTTTCTTCTGGTATAGATCAGCCAGCGAATTATACCAATCTGAAAGCTCAGGGTGCGCGTTGCGCAGTGATTCTAGGTATTGCAGAGCAGCCATGGCGATTCAAAGTAGAATTGGGAAAACTCAGAGTTCGAGGTCTAGTTTCAATTTATACGAATCTTTATTTGTGTCGTATTTTCTTGAGCTCAAAGAAATTAGAAAGGCATAATTGTGCAGACGGAGAGGTGGAGGAAGATTTTGCCGCAAGCCGGCACGATTTTTGGGTTTCTGGGATCTCTACCCCTAGTGGGACTACATTTCACCTTGCTTTGGTTATGGGCTCCTCAGGCCCATACATAGCCCAAAGCCCAATCTATATATATATATTTTTATAAACTTATGGTAGATCATATTCGAGGATTTTTAATCATATTAAGATAGATCTTTCAACGTGATAATAATAATGCAGTAATATTTATAAATGAGTAATAGTTTGACTTATTTTAAATTTTGTGGAAAAGAATATAGGCCTGTAATTTGATTTCATAAGAACATAATTATTATCAATCAATATATTGTAGTAATAAGTCAAAATATTACTATAAGGAATTTACATATACATCGCACTTACGGAGGGTAAAACCTCATACTTAAGATGTATTTGAAAGAAAGTGTTTGATGTTGTTGGGTTGTAACGTCACCGACATCAATATAATATTTTTAAAATAGTACATTTTGTCAATTTTCAAATTTTAATTTTTATCATTGACCTGCGTATTACATTGTTGTAATGACTTCTACTTTTCAAGTGAAATTTCGTCATTCACAAATCAACTACGAAAGTCAACCAATATAGAATATCTATATATATATATCACTAAAGTCACATGAAATTTAGTTTTTTATGTATGTTTTCTAATTCAATTAAGTCCATCCCCTAATTAGTACTCTTTTCACTGTTCCCACAATTTAATTACAAATGATCCACTCTCTAACTAACATGTGCGTTGTTAGGTCATGTTCACCAAAAGAAACCAACCACTGGTAAATTCCGACAGTTTGTTGATTTTCTTTATGCCTTCACTTTTTCTCTGCTTCGTCTTCTTCTTTTGCCTTTATCTCAAAATGAGGCATTGTGGTTGTCAAGCTTGCATGTGAAATAACAGAAATCAAACATCAGACATTTATCATGATTCCTTGCTTGCCCAACATTCCACCTGGCAAATTCTTTTCTTGCCTCAGTCCATCATATTACAGCGACAATCTTATAAATGACAGTTTTTTAAGTGAAAGTCAATAATAAAATATATCAGAATTAGGTTAAGAAAATTTGTTAAAAATACCAATAAAACTGATCATATTTGGGATGATGACATAAAGCATGTTTTCTTATAAAGATACGCTCTGACTTTGAGCATCACAATGAGTGGCAATCAGTGAACCCACCAAAGGCAAAACCAACCCGATCCATAATAGTTAGAGGAAGCCATCAATACATCAAGTGCATCAAATGATTTAACCTGTGACTTCATGACAAAGCAAAGTAGTCCCCCTCGTAGCTTTATATTAATCTATCTTCTCCTTATCCCAACGACCATACCACAAGAAAAGAAAAAGAAAGGAAACAACTTATTACTGAAAAGCAAAATGGTGAAGCAAGTGACAGCCTTACTCACATGCCTCCTTGTTCTGTTCCTCTTTGCATCAGCTTCATTGGTATCAGTTCACTCAACCAGCACAGAGATACCAGCAATGGGAACTCAAGGAAGTCGTGGCAGGGAATCACGTCATCGGAGATGGCAGAGGAAGACATGGATGAACCATGGAAGCTCTCGTGGCCCTAAGAAACAACTTGTGAATCCAACTCTAGAGCATCCATTTCAGGCTCGTGAATTTCCGCTATAGCTTTCTTCCGCCGAACTGTCTGTTTCTTCTCTGGGGTTGCTTTCCTGGGATTAGTATGAATAAAAGTTCCAGTCTTTGTTCATACCCATTTCTTTTACAAGTCCCAGTAATTCTAGAAACTGAGTTCATTTTATGTCAGTCTCTTGCTAGTACTCTCTTTTTCAATAACCAAAATCCCTCTGCCTTGTTCAGTTATATTATCATGGCTGTAATGAACTTGGTATCTCACAACATCAATCAAACTTTTTTTTTTTTTTTGGTTCTCATAGTGCAATTATTATATGAGAATTTACAGATCAGAGACGGGCATGTAATGTAACAACTCAAGCTCTGGAAAGTTTTGAGAATTCATACTTAACCAATTATAATTTATAAATCACCATGGGGAAAAAGCCACATTGTCTGGTGTAATGATTGTTCTATGATCATAATGACTTCTGAAATATGCTAATACTAATGATAAAAATACACAGCCAATAGCATCTCGAGTAGTCTTTCTCTCAAGATGTTAGCAACCAAAAGCTGTTATTTTCATGACTGATTAGAAGCGTGTAGGCAAAATGTTATCTACACATGTCAATAATCATTTGAACAATGACCAAAAATACTAGCTAAAGTACTACTAATCGCATCAATAAACTTGAATATCTTAATGTGTATTATAAAATCTAAAATAGAACATGAGCATCTAAAATTTTGCTGTTCACGTTACTATTCGTTACCATTGGTTGGGAAGAATACCATCATTATAAGAAACTAGCTTCCTGTACAATAAGCTGTTTTACCAGCCAGAATGTTTCTTTCTATTTTTCTTTTCATGCTAATCATGCTCATTGATGATGAATAAATTTAGTTGTCTCAATTATGGGATATTTCTGGTAAAAAAGAAAATACGTGATATGGATTTTAACGTGAAAGACATACCACAGTCTCATTGAAGAATTTAATACCAATACATATGGATTGCACTTGGCTTTTTTCCCCTTTCGATCAAAGCAAAGCACAGCTGGTTGCAGGTTCATACAGAGGTGATATCTTAGTGATGTTCAATGGATGCAACTAGTAAGAAAAGGCAAAGAAAAACAATTTTATGATCTTTCTTTATAAGCACAAGGACTAGGCTTTGCCAAGCACAGATAATATATCCCTCGTGAGAACAAAGCATGGACCTCCCCTAACTAAATTGTTACATGCACAAGGGTTGGGATTCTGACAATGTTATGGTTTTAATATCACACGAAAGTTGCACACACACGGAGAATCAATGCAAAGGCAATTTCCTAGATTCTCAGCGTACATGATTCTGTAGCAACCTTTGATGAGGGTCCATTCTGAAGATTTAAAATTGCTTCTAGATGTAAATATTGAAATTTATTGCTCAAACAATGAAATTCCTGCCCCCACAAAAAATAACCCCTGCTCTGTTTCAATGAAGTCTTTTATTTAAAGAAAAGAAGTCGTTACATCACAAATGACTGTCTGCTGAACTACGACGGCAACCAGAGAATTTTCACCGTGTTCAAATAGATAGTTTCTAATTCTTCCATATGACAGCGATAGTTTCTAATTCTTCCATATGACAGCTGCAATTTCGACAACAAGTCACATAAGATGATAACAAGCATAATTTGATCAGCAAATCTGCATTTAACTATCATTATTTCAATCAGTTCAAGTAATGATTTCACTGGTCAGAGGACCCTTAAAAGTTGGGTTTGGAGAGAAGAGTAGTAACAGAGATAGTATGAGGAATGAAGTAATGTGATGGGGTTAGACTGTATGAATAGCTTCACGCTGCATTTCTCAAATGTAAAGCAAAAGGGTGTGTGTATCAAAAGGAAGCCTTATAAGCTGTGACCAAAAATGTATGATGGCTTGAATCATTAATAATTCCCACTCTTCACTGCCCCAAGTAAAATGAATTAGGCATTAAGAATAAACGCTACTGAAGAAACACAATCCAGTTGATGAACGTTTCGAGAACAGAATTCAGAATCCCATATTAACAGCAATACCAGGTTATATCCCTGATGCGTTACACTCTTCGAGAAGGTTTACGATATTATGTTCTGGGGCACTGAGTGATGGCAGAATCGTTCTGTTAGGATGAGTTGTGCGTGGCTTTGACCCAGCACCATTGGATTCAGGGGTTCCTCCATCCTTCATCACTGCCACGTCAGATCTTCTATGCATTGTTGCAGATGCTCTCTCTTTCCATATTCTTCCATCCTGGGGATTGATGAAGATGAACTAGATTTCAAAATCTTTAAACCAAACAGTTTTGTTCCAAGAAAAGAAATGAACCCTCAAAAACATACACGAGGAGACTAACTCCATGAATTTTCAACCTTGAGTTTGGACCATGCAATATTTTCAAATTCAGGTGCGTCAGACATTGTCAGAAACAAACTATTTACTTGAAGCTCTAGGCTTGAATGGTTCAATCCATTAACGGGTACTGTGTAATATGCACCACGTATTTTAACACCCCCCCAAAAAAAAAAAAAACAAATCTCCCCCAAATAATGCGTCTACAAAAGCATGTCAAATTTAAACACAGGTGAATTAAAGAGAGCAGCGCTAACTGTTATCAAAATGATCTTAGAAATGGTTCACATGATGGACTTTCAAATATAAATAACTCAAAGCACTAAGCAGTCTTGCCGTGATAATATCTTCCATCTCTCACTTGAAAATTATCACATCCCCATTATAGATTTGTTTATGCATACAACGACCAAAAACTTTAATGTTCAAACAAATAGCTGTTCTCATGAATAATGGAAGATCATGCATTCAATCCATGCATGAAAGTCAACAATATGCAGATATCACAATAGTTTTCTCGTAAATGTTGCAAACGAAATCTGTACCGAGCAAAAGATGAACTCCCCTCGGTTACCAAACCCAATGTTAAAATTGCTCATTCCTTTTATCAACTAATCATGAAATTTTAGTCTAGATAACTTGACTGCTTCTAAAATCATAAAGAATATATATTAAACAATGTAAGGAAGGGTCTTGCCCTAAGAACAAATTTGGATATTTTTCTTACATTAATGATTGAAGGTTCTGGTAACGGGCACTGAATTGGTCTATCATTGTCAAGAGGCTCGGTTGGGTGTTCAACAGGCTTAAACGCTACTGCTATTTCAATTCCATGAAGAGTGGTAGTGACAGCACTCTGGCCAGCGGCACCTTCAGAATTTGGAGGTAATGATTCCCTCTCATCCTACATGAATTTTGACAAGGCATATTGCAAAACAAGATCATGTCAACATCTAAGCCTGTCATCCTATCCAACAAGCAAATGACTAAATCCAAAGGTAAAAGATAGTCTACACCTCTATCATGCAAGCATCTCTTACTTTTGCCAGTAAGAAATCTCAAGAACAGAGAATGTGCAGGGCAATATAACTTCAAAAGAGAAAGAGAAGGCTTTTGGATTCAATACAATACAAGAGGCTCAAACGGGCCCAACAAATCTTTCCTCCTAAAGTTTATCAAACAAAAGTGAAACTGAATGGGGGTTAACAGAGATGAGTTTTCATGAGTCAATCGAGGTCCAAAGAAGATCAATAATCATGACAGAAATTCAAACACCTACCAAGCCAAACAAGAAAAATTTATTCGGAGGAAGAAGATTCTTACGAGTGCGCTTTGCGTCCGTCGATGGGCATTCCTTCCAACGATAAATCTTGAAAATATACCCACCATATTTTCCAACTCAAAATCCGATAGCCACAAGAAAGAAGCAAAAGAGGGTCTTCTTGTTGCTATTCTATGATCTGGCGACGTCCCTGCGCTCAAACAAAAACTTCGACGATGCCACTGTGGATGACCCAAAATCGGCCTCGATTTTGGAGTCCTGATCACCCAGCTTTTTGAATCTGTGTTCTGTGATTCCCGAGGGACGAAGTAGTGGGAAAGAGTAATAAAGAGCACCGTAGCTATAGGTCGTTTGCTTAGCGTGGTGGGTTTGGTGAGTAGGATTCCCCGAATTTCTTTGAAGTCATAATGCTTGGGAATCAGTACCAGAAAGCTGTGAATTACAAGAAAAAGGACTCGAAGAAGAAGGAAGAGAATCCATGTGAGACTTTAATTCACGCTTTTACAAGCGAGACCAATTGGAAGGGCAAGCCAAAGCCTCAACTTAACCATAGAAAATTCAAAGTATCATAGACAATATAAGCCCTCTCCCCTGTCCAGCTGCTCCAGCATATTCATAAATTACAAGGATTTACGCGCCTTCGCCGAATCGTAGCGACCAACTTCAAAGGATTTTTCTGATAAAATGATGTTTCGTCTACGCATTGACGTGATATCATAGTGCGTACTAAATTACCCAGCTCCAATGGTACTGTTTCATTTAATAGCAAATTAGCAACCAGATAAAACCTTGAGAATTAAGGGTAAATGACAGACTTTTTAAATACATTAATAATATTAATGATAATTAAAAATCTTGAATCATTAATTATTAATGAATTTGAGAAAATATGATTATAATTTAAGGAATCTATGAAAAATCAATTATGAATGAATAAATAATTCATAAATTTATATTTTTCACTTGAAAATTTAGATGTAGACACTTATAAATTTTAGGAAAATCACTGGTAAATTTATAAAAGTTCATTGATTTTTAAAAAGATAAATAGTCTTATAAATTTATGCATTGTTGCTTGTGGCTTACAAATAGTTAGCTATGAAATTAAGGAACATTATTTGTAAATGTGTAAAACGTCAATTATAAATAGATATAAATAATTTTAATTGTAAATAATAAACATACAATCTGTAAAATCTTTTATGTTTTTGACTATTCATTTACAATTAATTTTTTAAAAACTTATGAGTAATATTTTTAAAATTCATAATTATTTACAAATAACATTTCTCAAATTTACAATTAACTTCCATTGAATTTATGAATGATTTTCTATTAGCTATTTCAATAATTAAAAATCTTTTAGTTGCAAATAAAAACATAACCCTTCTACAACATCTCAATAAAAACATAACCCTTCTACAACATCTCAATAATTTGAAATACCTTAAGAATGGGACTAGCCATAGCGCCAAATTTTCGTTAACATAATTTTAATCTAGAATTTACTCAACTTTTATATTTTATATATATTTCAATCTTAATCTAATAATTCAGTATTGGTTCTTCGTGTTGAAAAGGGCTTGAAAATATATGGCCACCATTGTCTTGGGCGAGAATTAGGAGAGCACTTATTATTTATATTTATATATATTCTTTTATTACTTTTGGACCCATCTCTTTAAATTTAGGTCACAAGAATTTGGGTCCTTATAATCAACTCCACCAAACACTGTCTTTATTGGCCCAGCATGCTCATGATGATTTATCTCATTGTCCGGTAAGGTCTTATCATTCATCTAACTAATACTTTTTTTATTTAAAAATATAAAAATTTTTTTAAAGAGTTAAATGTTTAAAAATATAAAATATTTTTAATCTATTAAAGTATAATTATTACATTTTTTTTTTAAATACACCTATTAATAATGACTTTATATTTATTATAAGGTATTTAATAAGGATAAATATAGAAAGATATAGTTAGTTTAAAAGTAGGTAAATACTTTTTTGAGGGTGAAATTCAGTTAAAAATATTTTATATTTTTTAACAGATGGAGGATATACTTATAGCCTCACAGGTGTGGAAATTCAAAAATAGTTTAAATAAATAATAGAATTTAGTTCATGTTTAGAGTATGGGTTATTAGTAGGGCTGTGCATAAAAACCTAAAACCCAGTCTGCCTGATCCAACCCGACTGGACTTGTCTGACTCAATCATAAAAAAAGCAATCCAAAAAAAGGACAAGACCAATCAAGTCAGACTGAACCATCGAGTCAGATCGGAGGCAGGATTAATGATTCAGACCATATGATCAAACCCGATCCAGGTACTTATATTTATTCTTAAAATATATAATGAAATAAATCTTTACCCTTTATGCCTCCATCTTCTCTTCTCCTATTCGTTGACATTTTCACTTTCCTCTTCAAATATTCAGTTTTGTCTCTTCCTTCATCAGTTCATCCTCTCCTTCCTCAATCCTCTCTCTCTACCTTCACCATTCCCTTCGACGTCCTCTACTTTGTGCCTACAGTTTTGTTCTCTCTCACCCTCATCCTTGTTTAGCTTCTCCCTCAACGTTCTCCATCTTCACGGCCTTGCTTCATTTTCATAAAAGAATCTCATCTTATATATTGGTTTTCCTTCCTTGGTTGCTCGTCGCTAAAGCCCATAACTTGTTCGTGATTGCCCTCAACATTGAAATCCAAATCTACTTGCTTCTTGCCGTTGGCTTTTTGGCTTTTGACTTTTTGTTAAAAATTGTCTCTTTCAATGTTTTTTTTTTTTGCCTTTGTACAGGTTCTACATCTGAAATAGTAGATCCAGCATGATTTGTTTTTGTTTTGTTTCTGGCCTTTGAATTATATATTTTTTAAGATGAAATTTTGTTAAAGAATGAAATTATAGGTAAGGAAATTGTATTTATTTATTAACTTCCTTCTCTCATGGAAAGATTCATTATGAAAGTTTTTTAGGAGATTTTTTAAATTTGGCTGCTGATTCTCTTTAATCTTTTTGATATGACTTTTTGGTTGAGATCTTTTGTAGCGTTTCTTCTTTACTCTTTTTTTTTTTTGGAAAAAGACATCTAGGTAGACTAAATTTTTTAGTCTAGTGGACCAAGTCTAGCCCGGTCTGGTCCCGGGTTACTATCGGGTTAGACTAGACCACAGACTAAAATGTTTAGCCTGAAAATATTTTAGACAAAACCTCGGGTTAGGCATAAATCTGATCTAGTCCGGTCTTTGCACAGCTCTAATTATTAGATGAAAGTAACTTATAAATTATAGGAAAAAATGATAAAAATATTCTTGAAAGATGCAAATAACAATGAAATTTCGTGGACATCAGGCACAAATCAAAAGAATTTCTAGATTTAACGACAGATCTTTCACAAAATAAAAGTATAATCAAGTTATCCTGATGAAGAAAAATAAGAAATAAGAGACCATCAGAATATGAAATTCAACAGCAGCATTAATTGCATAGTACTATCACAACAATTATGCACTTGTTTAACAAAAAAATTAGTTGTAACCGAAAAAAAATCATCAGGAAAAGGAACCATAACATATCAGAAGAAGTGAAACAACGGTAGTTTGAGAAAATAAACAATGAAGAATTGTAAAATTGTTAGCCGCTGCACTTAACAAAAAAAGAAAGAAAAAGAAGGAATTGGCGGGAGGATTACAGTATAAACAAGGGTAGCAAGGAAAATAAGAGAAATTTTCACAAATTTTGGAGCGAGAGTTTCGCTGCAAATAATTGAACAGGAAAATGAGTACTTTCTGTGTTAAAAAATATAAGATATTTTTAAAAAAGTTAAATGTCAAAAAAATATAAAGCATTTTTAGCCTTTGAAAATATAATTATTGCCTTTTTTTTTAAAAGTGTCTATATTAACAGTGACTTTATTTTTATTATAAACTGTTTAAAAAAATAAATATAAAAAGATAAATTTAGTTTAAAAGTAGGTAATTATCTTATTGAGTGTAAGATTTGATTAAAAATATATTATATTTTTTAATGAAAGGAGTATCACGTGAGAAGATTTCACATCCTACTAATAAATATGATTTCATACGACTTAATTTTAACTACAAACTCATTTGAATTTCAATTAGATATAATTAATTATGAAAAATGTGAATTAATATGATTAATTTTTATTATAATTGATTATGTTATAACGTGATCATGTTCGGATATAATTTTTTTAAAAATTGATTTTAACATAATTGAAAATGTTTGGATATTTTAATTTAAATTAATTTTGAATGTGTAAATTACAATGAAGGGCATAAGTTCCAAAATGTAAATATTAATAAAATTGCATATAATATTATTAAATTTTTTTTGATCCATTTAAATTTAATAAAGCTAAAAACATATAAATAAATAAAATAAAATAAAATAAAGAAAGAGATAAAATATATATTATATTGTTATTTTACAATTCAAATAAATGAATATATTTAAATTTAAATGAAAGAATGTATAATAGCCCACGATGCACTGCAGATTTTGCGACGGAGAATTCACATACCTGTTTTGCAAGAAAGAAGAGTGGTGTAAGAGTATATTTGAACCAATACAAAATTCTGACAGCACATATGCATTTAACTTGATAATTAGAAGCTGGCGAGAGTAACTTCATTAGGAATGGAGTTATGGAAGCATAATCGATTAACAGAAAAAAGGGGTATTTGGGTTTTTTTTCCCGTCAAAAGTCAAAACCATGGTTTTAGGATTGCATAATTGATTATCAAGCCTGTTGAAACAGGCACTACGTATGGCAGGCGCAAGAGTATATGATACAATAAATCAATCAATCAACAAATAAACACGTGAAAATCACATGGAGCTTGAAATTGTCAGAATTAGGAAGAGAGAGAGAAAGATATTCCTTCCGTACCTATAAATAAAATGTTTTTAACTGAACCACAAAAATTAATAAAAATTAATTATTTAATTAAAAATATAATAATATTTTAATTTTACTTCTACTTATGATAAATTAAAAAATAATTTTTTAAAGTAAATTAATAAGAGTATTTATATTTTTTTTAATTTAATAAAGGTATAATGGTCAATTCATTAAAAAAATGCTAATAATCTCTTATGTTTAGAGACAAAAAAATTTTAAAAAATATCTTATGTATAGAAATGAGGGAAGTAGATTGTGATTATATTACACATAGAGATAAAGATATAGAAATAAAAATAAAAAGAAAAAATTAGTCAAAAAGATCATGTTGAAATGGAAATTGGTCTCAAGGACCAAATGTCATTGAAAGACTAAGGTAATTGTTTTATTCATTTAACTACTTCCTCATCTCACTAAAATGCCATTGTGCCCAATCCACTCCTCATTGTGTCCACATCTCGCTCTAGTTGTGCCCCTCCATTCAGGTCATTGTCACATTGTTAATGTCACTATTGGCAACTCCTTGATCAATGATGCTAACTTGTCCCATGAATTGAGATAGTATCAACCTCAACTGTAAAATTGCCAGCTAAGCTTCAACAGGGCGACTCCAGCATCAGTCAAATGTTTTTTTACTTTCTCGTTACCAAATAGTTCCCACCATACTCATCGTTGATTTCGTTTCCCTCTTCCTCTTTTTTCAGTTTCACTGCTTCTGTTTCCTCTTCATTTGGTTTTCAACCATTGCCTTCCCTCAGAAGCAAAGTTAAAG